CACAAGTTTTGACAAAAATATCGTTTAAATCGAATTATTGAACTTACAACTTTAGTACAATTAGTAGTACAACTTTTGATATGCCTAATTTTACTCTTACAATATTTGGGAAGGGAAAATGAAAAGATATTATTAAATTTTAGAAAAGTCAACGTTATATCATGTTAAGCCTCGAATGAGTTCAATACGACTTACAGTATCACGTAAAGTTGTTACAACCAAATGTATGAGGGTATAGGGGATGAAAATAGCTATGGGGGGTAATCGAATAGCAGTGGACCGACAACCGCAAATGAGAATGCTAGAGAGAACTATGCTGTTCCACGCTTCCTTGGTGACCGATGAGGCCAATTCTACGAACCACATTTATTTCATTTGGAACTGTTGTTCTAAACTTTTCTGTTAATTGAAACGAAGAAATTGGAATACTCGTGGCTGTTGTTTTAGGCCACCATCGAGCGGGGAATTTTACAAAAACCCTGGTCGTGGCTATGGACAAACACTTGGAGAAATCGAGTTACCTTTCGCTGGGAAATACATTGATTAAACCTCTTTAAATAGTCTTAAGAAAGCTTACCTGGCTGGAATTGTATAAAGAGGATTGGTAACTTCGGTTGAATGCTGCACGGTTTTTGCAATCAATAGAGAAATATCTTTCGGGCAAGATATTCCACGCTTAAGGTATTGATTATTGTATTTATGACACTCGAAGTTTGTTAGTTTGTTGCGAAAGTGTTGCAGTTTATTATTTTCGGATTAAATTTATCGGGGGATCTTGATAAAATTTTATCATTGAAAATAAAAGGCTCACTTCAGAGTCTCTTTTATTAAAGAAAATCGTAATAAAATGAAGTATCTACTTTATAAGGTAACTTGTGACTAAGCTGTGGAAAAATGTTAATAAAGTAAATTATTTTTATATCCTATTTTAATATCCATATATATTTATCTATTATCGTTTTTAATGAAATAATACTATGGGCAAACTACTATAGGAAATAATTCTATTAATTGGATAAATGTAAAAAATTAAATATATTGTATCAATAAAAATGTCATTTCAGTATCTGCACATTCAGTATTTAATTTTTATTATCCTTTTAATTAAATAATTCTATACAATAAGATATAACATAAATATACTATATACTATATTTACAAATAAAATATTTACATATTATATAATATGCAATATACATATACACATATTGTGTAATAAATAATTCTTTTAATTTAATTCAATGTCTTTATAAAATAACCACTTGTATTTTATTATCATGCAAATTCTGTTTCAGAACAAAATTCAGAAATTTCAACTATTTTAGAAATATTTTTAGAATTTCAAGACATTTATACTTTGTTTGTTTGTCTTCCTTTCGAATTCTCTTGCGTAGGTACGATATAATTCGAAAGGAAGAATAAAGTAAATAAATTAAAATTTATTTTTATGAAGAGGTTTAGACAAGTTTGTTAGTAATGGATATTACAATTTGAAAATATGGATAGTGTCATATCTGATCTGAGAATTATTCATTAAATTGAATAGTGATATTACATCAATAAAAGAAAATAACGATTTGAAAATTAATTTATAGAATAAAATCACATTAGGTTACGAAAAAGCACTGCTTCGTTAGGTTATATTCGTAAGTTACTTCATAATTTATGTTCATTAAATTATGTAAGGCTTGCCTGTATTTGATTTAGACTAGAGTTTTTTTTATTTTTTATTCTGAGTTAACGTTTCGTTCGAAATGCGCACGTATTTGGTTAGGATCAGTCAAGAGATGACAGCGCCAACGGTGAAATATAAAATATACTTCCTTCGATTCTTGA